TACTGATTACCAGAAATATTCTAGCTTGATTTACACATGCCCATGTGTAGCACAGTAACTGTTTGACTCTCATCACACAAATGCTCTTCAGTACCTGAAGAGGGTTAAAACTGCTGTGCTGTCAGTTTGCTCCAGGCTTTTGTTGGTAGCTCCATAGTAGCATTCCTGCAACGAGTGTGATGCTTCCACCTGCAGCCTCAGTGAGTGCTCTTACACTTTGCTTGTTGAATCTGAGGTACAACAAATTTCCTTTGGAACTGGCACATTTCAGACTAAATCTGTGCTGTATGATGCTTTCACTGCTGTCTGGCCTCAGGGACAAGCCGTTTTACTTTTCCCAGAGTATTACTGACCCCTCTGTTATTAGATTTTACCCTTGGCAGACATTCTGGTCCTTGCTTTATTGCTTTTTGAGTTGCACTGTGTTCATGTATTCCCAGGTGACTGTTGAAATACACTTGGTGTAAAATGCACTGCAGTCCATCTAAGATTTTTTCTGCAGGCTCCAAAGGATAAACCTTAATGTGGATTTTATTAGGCTGTATGAATCTATATAAAAAAAAATAGCCTTGAGAAAAGAAATTATATCAAATTATTATTAATTTTTGAGCTTGTTGGAATAGAAACATGTATTTGCATCTGTGCAAACTGACTGTGTTCACGCAGGGCTGATGGATATGGAAGCTATGTTGGAATATGCAATAAGTACTCAAACTCGATCCCTTTATCAGACCAAGGGTTGCAATTGTAAGAGAGCCACAAACTCTCACTCTTTTAATACAATGATTCATGCACCACTGGGCTGTTAACTGTGTAGCTAACAACTCTGTATTTATTCCATACCCCAGAATTAATTTGAATACAAAAGTCTGTGCAGAATGGCAAAAATCTCTGTGCAGAATGTCAATGTTTTGTATTTTTTTAAGTGGGTTACAAAATTATCTTAGGATTTATGATATTGATTTGTATGCATATGTGTATATATATGCATACACAGAGATGTGTATTAGCATGTCTCTGGATTATGCTGTCATTTATATCATATTAAATAAGATCAGTATGATGGTGTAGGTCACTCCTTTCAAGATATTCAAAGCTACCAGATATAATGTTAATAGCAGTGGTGTGAAAACCCTATGTCATTTTAGATGGCAATCTTTTGAATACATACATTTCTAACAATTTGAATTTTGGTCACCGAAATATAAGAAAATACATAAAATTATTAGAGAGCATCCAAAGGAGGGCAACAAGGATGGTGAAGGACCTTGAGGGGAGTCTATATGAGGAGCAGCTGAGGTCACTTGTTCTGTTCAGCCTGGAGAAGAGACTGGGGAGACCTCATCGCAATCTGCAACTTCCTCGTGAGGAGAAAAGGAGGGACAAGGACAAGCACTGATTTGTCTCTGATGACCAGCGACAGGACCCAAGGGAATGGCCTAAAGTTGTGTCAGGGGAGGTTGAAGCTGGATATTAGGAAAAGGTTCTTCACCCAGAGGGTGGCTGGGCACAGCCACTGGGCTCTCCAGTGAAGTGGTCACAGCACCAGCCTGACAGAATTCAAGGAGCATTTGGACAATGCTCTTGGGCACGTGGTGTGACTATTGGGGTGTCCTGTGCAGGGCCAGGAGCTGGACTTGGTGATCCTTGTGGGTCCCTTCCAACTCAGCATCTCCCATGATTCTCTGAATGTCTTTCTTTTGACAAAAACTATTGCCTGTAGTTATCCCAGACAAGCATTGTAGATTTTGAAATGTATGTTGATAATAAGTCTGGTGCTCAACGTTGACAACCTTTGCTGTGGTATATGCCACACAAAGAGGAGTGGTAAAATCCAGGATTCAGTTATGCCTTCCTTGATTCCCATCAATGTAATTGCATCTTTAATTTTCACTTCTCTCAGAGAAAAAGGTGTCTACTAATGACAGAGAAATAGTGAGGAATTTCTGAAAATTATCACTGTAAAATCAGTTTCACTTTTATGTAGAGTACAACACAGCCTGTAATGCCTTAATTTGATGGAATTTTTTAAAATGTTATTATTTAAAACTGAGATGTATAGATTTATCATCAAGTCTGCCAATTAAAAATGAATTTTAATAGACTGTTAGTATAGTATTAAAATAGAATACTGGATGGCAGAAAATACAAAAGTCAAACAGCATAGATATACATAATGTCACATGGAATTTCAATTAATTTTTACAACTATTTTATAAAGTTTAGAATGTACATATACCAGAGAAAGCACAGACAAATAGAAACACAGAAATATCAACCAAATTGCTGGCATACTTTCATGTTCTTATTGCTTGGACAGAAGCAGAGTAAGGGCTCAGAGGCAACATCTGGTTGACCCAGCCTAACAAGTTACTTGGTGTCAGCTCAGCCCTGCTAACCACCTACCACCTACAAATGCAAGCTGGTGTGGTTTACATTACCTGTCCTTAAGTGTGGTCTCAGCTAAGACAGGTTTCACTGCATCCTCTCCAGGCTCAATGTGCTTCCCTGGCCACCTCTGCCTGCAGGAGATCGCTGAGTTGCAATAACCTGTTTGTGTGCATGAAGGGATCAGCTGGCATCGTCAAACAAATCTTGCAGTGATCCTTTTAGTCATAACCAGCCCAAATTACCTGCCTTCTCCCAGGACAGTGCTGTGGCAGGGCTGCAAATTAATAATAGGTCCACACCTCCCCACCCCTGTGCCTTTGGATGGCAAGGAGACCAAACCACTACAGATACATAGTTCCAAAAAGGTGGAGCAAGGCAGGATATTTCAGGTGCATTTCAGCAGGTCATGTCTATAAAAGGTAGCTCACTTCGAAGTTAGGAGATCTGGGTAAAGCTCTTGCTCAGCAAGATGCTTCAGTCCATACTTCAGCTCAGCGAATCATCCCTCTAGCTGCAAGGAACCCTTCTGCATGCTCACCCCATGTCTGAAAACCTCACTGAACATCTCACTGGTAGCCCTACTGCCAACCCAGGGTGATTAAGCCTGTGAGGAGCTCATTGTACCAGGGTGCTGCTGGGCCAAGAATTTAGCCACATTCAGAGAAGAATTGGAGATTTAAACAAGTAACACGATTATCCAGAGCTATTACAGCTAATGCTAACAGAAACTCTGGAAGAGAGATAAAGCCTCATGCTTCTGGGTGTAGGCCAGCCTCTAACTACACTTACTAGTAGCCTAAGACCTCCAGTTACCAAATACCTGCTTTCAGGGACCTTCCAGGCACTGTTCTTCGAGCAATGGCCATCATCAAAGGGTGAAACATGAGATGTAATTTAACCCTCATCCAAAACACCAATTTTGTTATTTCTGAAATTACTAAATCCTCTCAGCCTGTTCTTTGTTTAAGCTCTAAAAGGGGAAATCTTCAGCTTTAGAGAGTAATGGTTAGAAGTACTCAAGTACTGGATCCTCTCAGGAAAGAGTGGTGCTGTAAAGGCAAGAATTTACATAGCACACACTACCAGTAATAGCAATAATGAGCTTGAATCATGCAAATATACTAAGTGATCAAACTGGTTTGCCTGTCAAGTTGTAGTCTTTTATGATGTCCATACCTGACAAGGCTAAGTCCTTTAAAATTTCTCTCCCAACAGGATACAAATGACAGCTTGTTTTTTGGAAATACAATTTATCTTATTGGGATAAAAAAATCCTCTTATGGAAAAAAGGTTCAAGGAAAATAAGATATTTTTCCTCTCAAGTTACCTGATTCTACTTTGTGCATTTATGTACATACACACACACATATACACACACATATACAAAGTTAAAATTGGAATTTAAAGACCGATTATAAAAGATTGCATAATATGAATGTTCTGGATTCTTTGTCTACTAAAGTCCAGCTTTTTGGATGGATGACAAAATTCTAATACCATTTCAGTCCACTCTTGGATAAGAACTCCATCAAATAATATTACAATAAATAAAAAATATGTTTTAATTTTATCAGGAACATCAATAAATACAAAAATTATTCACTGATAAGTTGCACACAATATTAAAATTCTGTGGGTTTGCTATTAAAGCTGCTAAAAGAATCAAACACCTCCAGGTAATGGGTAGAGGTCTCCAGCTAAGCTGCCTATGTAAAATTCTCTGAAATACAGCAACAATCATGTCAGTGGAATGATTTGATATCACTTATTTTGGAAAACATACAACTGTTGAGACACTGGCATTCATATGCTCTAATGCTGTTACGCTTTCATAACTTGTGATAATCAGAGTCATGAGATAAACCTGGATTTTTTGCATTTGAGAGTCCAGTTGTATGAGAAAAACAAAGCATGAGCTTCGTGCTGCATTCAGATGGGAGCGTGCTTATAGGTATAGAGAGACAATCACAACTATGGTAATGAAATTTAAAAATATGTATCTACTGTTAGTTAAATTTGTACAGCCCTCCTAGTATGGACACAAGTAAAGCTGCTATATATTGCTATAAATGCCACTTCTAATGATGTAGCTGCACTTACTTACACGGATTAGAACCAAATTACATCAAAAGCTAAAGTCACACTGTTTTAATTTTTGCACTTTAGTGGAGACATGAAACCTCTGATGGGAGTTTTCTGGGGTTTTTTGCAGTGACTGGCATCTTAAAGACGTCTGGAAACAAGCATAGGGTGATAGATTATCACCAAAGCAGTGATTCAAAATTTACTGCGTGTAAAACTAGTGCACAACAGAAACACTGTCCTTCCAGCAAGGAGCCAAGCAGAGTACAGGACTGTTGCATGAATTTTCCTGCAAAGTCTTTAGCAGCCAGACTAATCCCAGACACACCTCGTGCTGACCTTTACACACATACGCACAAAACTTTCTGGGAGACTTCCTTCCCCCAGTCCTTTCTTACTTCATCTCCCAGCAGGGCTGCCTGCTGGATCCTGCTTCCATACGAAGGGAGAGAGCCTCCACCTACCTTGCTCTCCTTCCTTCCCTCCCCAGTCCCTCACTCCCTCTCTTCCCCTCAGGCTGGCAGGATTCCTCGGGCAGAGCATGCAATCAGTTTGCAGAGAGCAGCCGCAGCCACAGGAAAGATGCAGAAGCACAACCAGAAGGAACACCTCTACAAGCTGCTGGTGATCGGGGACCTGGGAGTGGGCAAAACCAGCATCATCAAGCGTTATGTCCACCAGAACTTCTCCCCACACTACAGGGCCACCATCGGGGTGGACTTTGCTTTGAAGGTGCTGAACTGGGATGCTGAGACTGTGGTACGGCTGCAGCTCTGGGATATTGCAGGTGAGTGCAGAAGAGAAGCCCTTGCCCCATAATCTATCAAAAAAACAATACAAAATATAGACCCCAATTCGTTTGTACTGCTCTGAAAGCTGGGAACTGCCACTGCCTGTGCAGTGAGGGAGAGCAGATTGAGGAGAGAAAATTTTAAGGGCAGGTTGACAGTTTGGAGATTCCTTAAAACCAGGAGACTTCCAAACTAGGGAAGTCAGAGAGTCAGAGTGGAACTTCTGCTAGCTGATTTTTCTCCCAAGCCCTTGGACATATTCAGGGACCCAGACACCTCTCTCCAAATGCTCCAGTTGTTTCTCTGCAGCTGACAATGTTCAGTTTTGACTCCTTGGACTAAGAGACCTCCATGACAGGAGAAAGAGTAACAAGAATGTTCATCTTTTTAATTCGGTGGAATAGATGAGGCATTCAGTAAGATGATTAAAATTACTTTTATATTTAAAAAATAAAGAAAATGTATACCTGAGTTTATCAAAATACCTTCCTTCTTCCTCTCTCTCCTGCCTTTTCTCCTTCAGTCCAATGAAAGCAACTTTTTATGTGTTTTGGAAAGAGTAATTTTTCTATTTGGTAATAATTCTGGTTGTTAAAAATATAGCTACTCATATTTAAAAACCCTTGTTCCAATATCAAGCAAAGCAAAAGACAATTTGCCCTCTCCAAGGAGAAAAATAGTAAAGAAGTCCAGATATCCCCACATGCTTACATCATTAAAACCCACAGAATTTGACATTGTTGCTGTCAGTGCTTCAGACATTTTCGATTGGCTTCAAATTAAAAATACAACTTTTTTTTATACTTCCTTTCTGAAAAATCAATCATTTTTGTTTCAGTCCACAAAATAAGTTTACCTTGATGGAATATATCCCATGCTGTAAGTAATAATTTTTCATTTAGTGAATGCAGGAAACAAATGCAATTGTAACAATAGATTACATCATCAATGTTGGCTTTTGGCAACTCAGTTAAATTAAGAAGTTACTTTATTTAAGTAGGGAATAAAGGTGAACATCATATCAGCTGTTAAGCAATTGTACCAGCCTGTGGCCTGAGTTGTGGGCTCATTGATCTAGTCTGGAACAGCACCGGGTAAAACTGGTGAAATGAAAAAATTCTTGACATTCTTATCGGCGGAGGGAGTGCTTTTCTTCTGCACTGAGCTGTCTCATGTCTGAGCTTTGAATTTGGCACTGAGGTACTAAAACTTATGCAACAACGCTGCTTTATGCAAAATGTATAAACTCCACTTTTTCACATGCTAATACAGTCTTGTGTTTTTATGGTGTTAAATACATATATGCTCAGTTTTCTTTATTAAAAGATGGAGTAATGGGGCAAACATTTATTTTACTGTTCACCGGTGGCTGATTGTAACAACAAATACATATGCTGCCAGAAAAGCTTTTCTGCATGAGAAAAAAGCATTTTATAGTAAATTCTGAATGTATCAGGAACTTAAAGAATGTATTTTTCATGCCTTGTTTCAGAGATTTATTACACTACTAATCATGTGCTGGCAGATCATATGATGTAGCTTTCAGTCAGGCTGCAGAAGCAATTACACCTAGTTGTAGTACTGAATGACTAGCATGCTTTCTGAGTTATCACACATGACAGAGAGAATTACAGCACAGTACTAAATTTCATATGAATTGCCCAATTCAAAGCATCACTGTGAAGGTCAAGACAGTGGTCGGTAATAAAAAGAGTTGCTGTCTTAGCTTTAATGACTTCTGCTTAAAGAGCTTTAGCTGTTGCTGGCTGTACATAGAGAGCAAGTTCTGCAAGCAGCATGCTGAATTCAGATGATCATGGTGCAGACATAACAGTTATCACACATTAGGCATTTGGCTGGTGAGAGAAAAAGAGGTTCAGAAACAAAAGAGAAGCAAAACTGATTTGAAATATGGAGAGAATGGAATTGGCATCTCCTGGCTGTGGCTGGTCATGCATCATCATTTCCAAAATACAAATGGGCAATGAGAAGAGAGAGGAAAATAAAATCTCTGGTCTAAGAATATCCTCTCTCTTTTGGTGGACTCTCTGTTATCAGGTCAGGTTTATCTTTTGGGATAAGGAAATAAACTTTCAGTCTCTGACCAAGCTGAAGGATGTTGGTTTAGCATGCAGGACACCTTGAATTGAAGCAAATTCTGCAAATACATCAATAATAATACTGCATAATAATTCTGCAATAATACATCAATAACATGAAATATATTTCATATCAGTAATTATATATAACTACATATTTATATATGTATGTATACATAGATATCAGGTATTATTTTAGCTCTTATATCCTCTCTCCTCTCCATTATACAGACAGTGAACCAAGTACCAAGCCTGTGTGTACTCCTCCTTACCTTTCACACTGTGGATCAGTGGGCAGTAAATTGTTTAACACTCTAGCTAATTTTCTTAAAAATATTGTGAGTAAAACCAGTGTCAAGCTTATCTACATTATCAGTAGGATTTATGTACATGGTGACTTCATTGGAAGAGTGTCATGTTCTGGCTGTGGCAGGACCAAGAAGTTTTGCCTGGTTTATCCTTACCAGACATAAGAAGAAAAAGTAAATTTGGTTCATCTGGTGCCATCTAATTAAATGTAGTTAATACTTGTGTAACATATTTTTCTGTGGTTTTTAATTTTGTAAACAAAACTATAATACAATCTAACAGCTAAATGCTGAAATTGCATTTATTTAGATGAGAGAGAAATGCCAAAAAACAAGGATAACTAAATATTACACAAATTAATTCAGGGATAATGTAGGCTCTGTATCACACATTGTTACATTAAGACAGAGGTTTTAACTCATAATATATTCCTGAAACTGTGGGTGTTAGGCAGGAATCGTAGGATTAACCTTTATGTTATATGATGTTATGGTGTTTGTAACAACATGCTTTCATTAAAATATATCAACTTACATCTGATTCAGTGAAGTGCCTGAGTCTGAGGTGACTGAATGTCTAGTATTGAGTGTGGGAGGAGATATACATGATAAAATTCTCCTTGCCTTTAATTTCTTCACAACAATTCCATTTTGTTTCACCTAATATCACAAATTACCAGTTTTGGTGTTCCTGTTAAAGTGTGCCATCATCTCTACCACTGTCATTACAACATTAAATCTTGCTCCTCAGTCAATTTCTGTCTTTATTTCTTTATCTTTTCTGCTGCCTTTGTATGCATATCCTTTAAATTCATTAAAAAAATTGTTAGAAGGAAATCTTTAAAGGAACTCTGAATCATATTTTGCACAAGGTTATTCTGGATAGGATTGGCCCTGCAGATGCAGGCTGGCACAGTGCTTCTGAAGAAAAGACAGCAGATCTGGGTGTATTTGCTATTCCCTTCTCTGCAAGGCTGCTCTCTGTGCTACTGTCTGTGTTTTGTGCCCAAACAGGCCAGAGATTTCTCTAAAGACCAGCTTTAGCCATAGATTTACTGCAGAGAGGAGCTTTGAACATCAGAGAGCAGAGAACAGCACATCCAAGCCTGCTCCCTGCTCTTTTTCCAGAGCCACCTCAGCATTGTCCTTATCACTCCTGCATTTGAGTGGGTTGGATTATTCATTGCTACCAAAAAGTTACTGATTTGTGTTTAAAAGTCTCATAGAGTTGGACTGATGCTTTGGGGAAAGAACAGTTCCATTTCCTTTCCTGGTCACTTTCACCTTCAGAAGCAGCAGTCTTCCCACAGATACAGACAGGTGTCTCTGCACTTGTAAAGTTTTTAGGATTGTTATGCTGCAGAGGGAGTAAGTGGAAACCTGTTCACTAATGCCAGGCACAGCACGTCCTCAGCATTTCAGGCTTTCAGCAGCTGCTAAGCATTGCGGCACATATGTATAAGTAAGATAGTCATGGTGATTTCTAGGCTAAGTTACCTTGAAATTACTGTTCTGCAAACATAAATAAGTCTCTTGCTGTGAGGGTCTTATTTGAGTAGAGATTGGCGGTGGAATCTGTGGGTCAGATCCTGCTGACAGCCTGCTTTTCCTCATTCTGGGGTGGTGAACATCAGCTCAAGGGTTGCTTAAGCTTCAGTCCATAAAGACAATTACTTGAATTCAAGTGTGAATATTCTGAAAGATGTTTTGAAGTGAAAGGTAAAAAATGTCTAAATCTTCTCCATAGTTCCCAGCTTCTCAGCGTTGGCTGAAGGCTGCCTGTAAAGCAAGGTTTTTCCCAAAAGCATTGTCTCTTAGTGGCAAGAAGTAGAACACATCATAAAACTTTTTATTGGCAGTTTTAATCAATTTTTAATTTCAATTTTTGTGCCACATTTCAGATGCTGTGGTCAAGATGGTAGAAATTATCTGAGTTTCAGAACTTTATCATTACTTTCAAAACCTTTATTAGAGATGATAATGGTTAGTGAAAATTGTAGATTACTGTACAAATTTATGTGGGGTAAATTTTTATAAACTATGGAAAATCAGCAGCTGGTTGTTTTAAACCAGTTTAAAGCTGGTTGCTTTAAACTGATAGCTTTGCCTGCTGCAGAGGTGCCACTGAGATTAGGATAAATGTGCAGGCAGCTGCCCTTCAGACAGGGAATGCTTCCCTTTAGTAGAAATCTTGTTGCTTTGTCATCTTGGTCTGACTGTGTTCACTTCCAAGTAGAGTAGGATTCATCTGAATTAACAATTAGACATTTCTTCTCATTCTCTGACTACAAAGAGACCCTAACCTTCAGTACTCCCAGTTAACTTTTTAAATCTAATTTAGGGCTGATAATCCCAACATAAAGCACCATCTCAATGGGCAAAGGCCGTTGGGATTGTGGGGTTTGATGGCAAATGCCAGTGGCCTTGCAAGGGATGCAGAAAAGTATAATGGGCCAGATCAAATATTTCCCAAGCTTCTGACCCTTCCAGTGAAAAGTAAAACCAACCTTTCCCAGTCACTCTTGCAGTAAAGCAGATTCTAATGTTCAAGGCTGCCTGCGAGATGCCACTGAATATCTAATGGCTGATCTATTTTCTAGCCTAATTCCTGCCTAAGACATTGTATTGCTGAAAACCTAAGGCCAGATTTTGACATCTTTAATACATCAAACAGTGCCTATTTTTTATGAGGAATTCTACTAAATTAAAAACTTTTATGAACCTCATCTATTAATATAGGATTTTGTTCACGTAAGTGAGAATCTGTGGTAAAAAAGAGTACTTTTGCATCCTTAGACATTATTTAGTTCTCCAAGCTCAATGCAAATACTAGAGATTACCTTTTCCACAATTTAAATTAAATAAAAGTCATTATGCAAATGTCATAAAACTAAAACTCTGCTTTATAAAGCATCTATTTTTCCATTCAAACTTGCCTAATGTCTTTCTGTCAAGTATATTGATACATTGATTATAACTGATGGAGAAAAAATCACTTCAAAAAGAGTTTAGCCAGTTAGTCCAGCAGCTCCATTCTTTTTCTTTGAGGTGGTCAGTGGTGGATATTGGTTATCCCTGTCTTCCTACAAAATGCATCTTTTACAAACATGTTGGCTTTTTTGTGCAGTGAAAATCCTGTATATCTGAAAAAGCAGCTGGAATCCAGAGGAAGAATCAGTGTCATACAGTTTGTCAGAAATTTTTGGGCCACTATGAGGCAGAAGATCACAATTTAGGAGCCTTTTATTCCTTTAGTAACTTTCTTCATGGTGAATGAATTCATGCTGCAATGAATAATTTAGTTGATGTTCTGTGACACTACGTCCCACCTATCTTAACAATCTATTTCCCAATAAATATGTGTGAGGCCTGAGTTGAGCTGCTCTTATATCACCTACAGTTTAAGCATCTCAATAACTTTGTATGAGAAGTATAAAGTATCAGTGAAATACAATATCCATCAAAAAACTTTTTCTATATGGTGCTGCTTACCTCACTGCTATGTTCCTAATCAGACCTTGGCTTTTGGTGGAAGGCACCTTCTTGCAGATGAAAAAAGAATTTCTCAACAAGCAGATTATTGAATAGCACATGACTTAGCTATTCATCTGATTAGCCCACTGATAGGAATCATAAGACATTTGAATAAATTATAGACAAAAGAAATTTTGAATATGACCTCTTCTTTCCCAGAAATAATCTATTTCTATCTTGCTTTATCAATAGGACACAGTGTTTCCTTAAGATTAAAAAAATTTGACATGAATTTGGAGAAGACAGGCTTCTTCTTTGGTTTCTGTATCATGTGAATGGCTTTCTCCTTGCTGCCACAGTGCTTAAAACCAAAGATAAACATCACAAACTGATGGTGTTGACCCTCTAAGAGGGTTCAGTGCCATTTCCATTAAATTAAAGTGCATGGTCTAGAAGCCCAGAAATCGGCACTTTTTCCTTCTCAGCCCTCCCTTACATTTGACAGCACAATTTCCATCAGATAAATTCTCCGCAGGTAGCCTTCCTGGGGTCAGAGGCAGACTGCCAATCTTCTTGTCTTCCTAACCTACTCAAAATTGCTCATGTTGGGAAAGTAAGGCTACAAATAGATTTGCATTCAGTGCTTCTGGTTCCATAGCACTTTTTCCCAGTTATGGATGCATACATACATACATACATGTATGGATACATACAAGAGTTGTCATGCTTAAAAAGGGCTATAGTTGTGAAATATTTCAGGAGCTTATAATTCTTCTTTGGATCACAGCTCTGCTGTACACATTTGTAGAAAATCTATTTTTTATTTTCAAGAAAAATTCTGTGTAATTTATTTTTTCAGAGTTCCCATGAAAACAGCACATATATTAACAAATCCACAGCTGATCAACATACCACATCCTGATGTCATGTGTTAATGTGTTCATACTTCTAATCATATAAAATGATATTTACAAATGTCCATGTTTGAATATACTGATGTACTGTTAGCTCACGAAAATTCTGTCCTTTCCCAGAAAGCACTTCGAATTCAGCAAATAAAACCATGAAGCTTCTGAACAGATCTAGTATGAAACTCTCCTCACAGATCTTTTCACTATAGCAATGCAGCTCTTCATATTGCTACTGCTGTGCTACTTCTTAGAGCACTTTCCATGTTTGTAAGGCTTTTAATTCAGATTCCTCACCTCTGTGTTTTAGTTTGCCAATAAAAATAAACTTGTAATTACTCTGATGCCTGGTATGGCTCCAAAGCTATATTATGTTACTGCTGGTTATTATCATTTGCATGAGAATATGCAGGATCCTCCTCATGCATGAGGAGTTCAGTTGTGTTAGATGTTTTAGACAAAATACCATAGTATCAAGGAGCTTCCAATCTGATACCTGTATTTTTTTGTGAGTCTTGTTGAAAGTCCTATAATGTACCTAAAGACTCATGGTACTGTCCACAGACTGAGAAATTTGGCAGCCTAATAAGACACTTATTATTCACTTATTACACTTACTATTCACTTATAATGAACTTCATTAAATTTCCTTGAGTGTTGGATTGCAAATTCCTTTTTCATGCAATACTCTCCTACATTTTCATACAGGTTATTTTAGCATGGTACTTATAATTATTTAGGCAGAGAGTATTTTCCCAGGGACTTATAAAATGAAGTCCTGCCTTCAGTAATGTTATCTTAGAAAACCTGCTATGTGAAATACTGACCTAGACTGGGAGCACTGATTTTTACAAGGTGGTGTTTTTTTCCCTCTCCTACTTTCTTCATTACAGGACAGGAAAGATTTGGAAACATGACCAGGGTGTATTACAGAGAAGCTATGGGGGCGTTTATTGTCTTTGATGTTACAAGACCTGCAACGTTTGAAGCAGTGACAAAATGGAAAGAGGACTTGGACTCTAAGTTGGTTCTTCCAAATGGCAAACCTGTGCCAGTAGTCCTTTTAGCAAACAAATGTGACCAGGGAATAGATGTTCTTATCAACAACGGCATCAAGATGGATCAGTTCTGCAAAGAGAACGGGTTCGTGGGCTGGTTTGAAACATCAGCCAAGGTAATGTTTATGTTTCTTTTCAAATGTTTCTAAGAACAGAGAAATCAACTCCTAAAATAGTTAATTTGATCTAAATGTGCACCTTGAAAAGCTTCTCTCTTGGTGGTATTAATTAAAGGTGGATTTGTAAATATATAGTATGCATTTCTATTTCTTTTAGGTCTTTTATTGCAAAATTCTGAAATGCAGCTGCTGTAATATGTAAAGTATGTACCCAGTCAACAGGTTACTGCACAATAGCCTGGGAGAAAGATTACCTTAGGCAAGGCATAAAAGCTACCTCTTATGCATGATAATAGGATGTTTTTTATCATTCTCAATGTTCAATATTATCTCTAAATATTTATATAACCACTTTGCCTGAGAAATGCTGATTTGAGACAAGAGCTTCATTGCCTTAGAACCAAAATAAAGTCAGTCCATTGTAGTGCTTGTACAATGTTCACTGTTATAAGTTCTCATTCTCAAAAGCCTTTTCAAAAAAATCACATATCTGGGGAATAAGGAAATATCAGTGGTCAAAGTGCTGAATGAGCTGCTCTCAGGTTCGATTCTTTGCCTTGGTACAGATTTCCTGAGTTCATGGAATACTGAGATAAAAATCAGAAAGGGCACTCAGACTTTCAAATTATAAAAGGCCTAAAGTACATTGGTACTGTCAATCAATTTAAGTTGTCTCAGATAATTTCAGTTCATGCAGGATTTGGAGAGCTAGCATGTGAAATATTGATTCAAATACAACAATTCAGTGTATATTGTGTTGATTGTATCCTCCTATCATGAAAGCTGGTGTCACCATTGACAGCTCTGGGGAACTTTTAGATATTTGAAATGTAAACACTTTGGTTCTGGTTTAAAGTAAATTTTTAGTAGTCTGAAAGCCAAAATGCTACATTTGATTGTTTAATTATTTTTAAACACTATATGTAAGATACTGAAGAGCTTTTAGGGTGCATATTTGTATTTTACTACTCTGGTCTTGACACCTTCTTTAAGCATTAATATTTAAAAGGTATTTCACTTGTAATCAGCAGAAGCAACAGCAAGGGAATAGCAGCATATCCCAGACTGCCTAAAGCATTGCATGAATTCTGGGCTGAGATGGCAGCTTTTCAGGACTTAAAAGGAGTTTATAACAAAGATGGGAACAAACCTGTTATGAGGGCCTGATGTGATAGGACAAGGGATCATGGTTTTAAACTAAAAGAAGGCAGATTTACACTAGAGATAAGGATTTTTTTTTTTTACAAGGGTGCTAAAACACTGGAACAAGTTGCCCAGAAATGGTGGATGCTCCATCCCTGGAAACATTGAAGGCTAGATTGGATTTGGCTCTGAGCAGCCTGATCTAGCTGAGAATGTCCCTGCCCTGGCTGGCAAGTTAGGCAAGATGACTTGAAGAAGTCCCTTTCAACCCAAACCATTCTATGATTCTATGATTTTATGTCTTTGTAATTTATGTCATTGCTTTCCTACTGAATGGGTCTCAATTCTAGCCACTGTTTCTTTAAAATGCCATTTATAGGGAGAAATTTTGGTGTAGGCAGCTGTAAACTCTCTTGCTCCACATCAGGGCACTTCTTGTTCCTTCATGTGCAGCACCTGGTTTGTATTCAGGTCTGTGGGTCATCTGCTGATTTGTGTTGGGTGAGGCCAAGAGAATCCAGTGTTCCTCCTTATGAAAAACTACATTTTACTAGGAGAATGGAATCTGTACCATGAATTCCATACATCAGTCTCCAGCAAGCACAAGTCCACCACTCAAAAAGGACAACCACATTTATTGTGCCAAGGGTCATTTCAGGTCATGACAGAAAAGGAATATGCAAATGATTTCAAAGATCTCAGAGAGGTTTTACAATGATGATGGAGCAAGTCTGAGGCAGAACTATGGAAGTATAAAAGATGTAAAAAGGACATACATTTTTTAAAAGTCACAACAGAGGAAATTTTTCCAAGTTTCTCCTAGCTGCATAGAATTAAGATTTTCTGGTTTTTTAGACATGGTAAATACCTAGATTCTTCCTACACTATTTGAATGCAAAACCCAAGCAGTCCCCAGGTTGCCAATGCAATCATGTAGGAACAGAAAAAAATCCAGCTATGACAAGACTTGTTTTCAAAAGCCGCTCAGAAGGGAATGGTGGGAGTTGAGGGCGCACAGCTGTTATCAGATCCTTCTCTGCTGCTATACACCAGAGGCTAGGACCTGCTGTTCTGCAGTCCACACACCTGATTTCCACCCAGAATTGGAGGCTCCTGACTTTAAAATTACACAAAGAGCCATTCCAGTAAAGATGGTAGAGTCACAACATTTAAACTAAGTTAGATCAAAATAATTTCTCCACTTGGTCTAAGTTCTAAAGTAAACCCTACACTTACTTTTCTAAGCAAAAGTTATTATTACTACTATTTTAGAATTCTGGATATTATATGTACCTAGTATTCTTTCAGCCTAGGGCATCATAAGTAATTGAACTTGGGCCTGGGAAAAATAAATAACTTTGTTTTCTACAGAGAATGGAAGATCTTCTGAAGCAGAATAAGATGAACAAAGGAGTCATCACATTGCAGCTAACAGTTTTAGCAGTTCAAATAAGTAATAACTCTCTTTTTGTGGTACCCTGGAATAATTAGATCTCCTGAGATTTTCTGGAGATGTGCTTCGAAATGTTAAGGCCTTGAGCAAACTGAATACAATTTATGCATTTTGGAAAAACAAAGGTGATAACTTATAAAAATAACATATTTTCATTATGGTTGCTTTGCATGCCATATATGTACCTACCATATTTCAAGCTGTCAATGATTTTAAGCTGTTGTCCGTAGCATTGGAAAATCACTATATTATTCCCTGGTGCTATTTTTGTAAGTTAACAGCTCCAATATAAAATATTTGAGCCACCTAATACAGTCTTATTATTAGTTTTGATTCTTACATTAATGTGAAGGAAATAGAGCTCTTTCAGTCTTCTTCTGCCTACAAAGTCAGAAGATTTTGTTTGGATAGTTTTCCATGTGAGAAGGGCCTTATTGGGCAACACCACCTCACAGTATAGTCACAAGTTACATTATTGCCATATATCCGGTGGTGAGCCTGGTCTCTTTTATATCTGCATGTCTACTTCACTTATATTGTTTGCTGTATAAGAGGCACATCCCCAGATAGTCACAAAATAACCCTTAATAGTAAATTCTTTAATAAATTTCATGACCATAACTATTGTGAAAGATTCATTCTTTTAAAGAAAGGAAATTTCTTCTTCTTGTCACACATTTAATTATCCAGCACATGGCCAGAGCAGCTGAGAGCTCCACTCACATTTCCAAGCCTTTAAACTGTTTTCACCAGCATTCCTAGTTCAAAGAGGTGAGCTTTTGACTTGGATTAGAAAAGAAGAAATTTCAAGCTTATTATCACTTTATAATGAAAATGGAACTTGTGCAACAAAATGGACAAGTCAGGTAAAACTAAGTGTGATTGAAAGTACCTAATTCAGAAATAACTTGAAATACCTGATGACTGGCCATGGCTGTGCTGTTATTATGCCTGAGTTCCTCTTTTCCCTGCTGTAGTTCTGCTGTCAGCAATACAGAATTAGATGAAAAGACATTCATGTTTTGTCCAAATTGCCCAGAAAGGCTGGTAGCTGTGCTTTTCAGATCCTTACAAAACTAGGTGAAGCACACAGCTTCTTGTCTCCTGAGCATCATGGCCTGGAGACTGATGAGCAGTCTGAGTCTCTGGACTATTTGGATACATTCTATTTGTACCAGGACAGTGTTATAGAATCTTTCTGCCTCTAAATAATGTGTCTAAATAAGATGTCCTTTATTCAGCTTTTGTTTGACAGGTGCATCAGCATAGATTCAGAATGAGTTGGGTTGGCAGGGACCTTAAAAATCATCTGGTAGCCCCTAAATGCTGGGCTAGCAATCAAAAGTCCTCCTTGCCACTGATCTGCTGTGTTACCTTCAGAAAGTCATTCTCTCCTCTGTTCCAGCCTTCCTTTCAAAAAGCAAGGACATTAATTCTTCCTGTTTTACCAGGGAATACTGTGAATAATCCAAGCTCTATTAGCCCTTGTTTAAATCACAGATTCTTCAGTTCTTTTGACTGGACAATTATTATGAGAGATAAAAAAAAACAAGCTATGCAGTAGACTTGTAGAGGAATGGGATAAGCAGTTCTGATTTCCATAAAGAAAAACAAGGTTTGGACATGTATTTGAATTAGGCAGACACTTTAAACTAATCTGCTGATCTGGTAGCTTAAATCCAAGCAATCCATTTGAGACTGCCAGACCCAGTTAGGGATGTGTGGCCCAATAGATTGTCTTTTTAATTCACTAAAAAAAGTCTAACCAATCTCACTGTACAGTCTTAGAAAATATTTCAGATTCTGCCATAAAGCAAGAAATAAAGCTGACATTTAATGTGAGAGGTTTTGTTTCAGGTGTACAGTCACTTTGTGCAGAATCCTCTGCAGAGTTTGTTTCCTGTAATTAAAAGGAGTTGATTCAGATCGTCCTATGGGTATTAGAACAGTCCTATAGTTCTCTGGATCACATTTATGAAATGCATTATTTAGTGCTGTCCCAAAACTGGAAATTCAGAGAATCACAAAATTGTTGAGATCAGAAAGTCATTTAGTGAAATAATTTTGTTGCAGGATATTCAACCAGCTGTAAGAATTCAATCACAGAAATGATCTTGTTCTCAGAGTTGCAGTCATGGGAATTCACATCCATTAATTTAATGTTCATGCATCCAGATGGCTTTTGACTTGTATGGCTGCATTTCCCTAGAAACACCACTGCAGGAATGCAGCACACCATCTTAATAAGGCTCTGTTCCCTGCAGTTTCCAGGGAGTTCTGCTAAGGGAGCATGTGGAGTCATTTCCTCAGAGTACTAGCTCTAGGGGAGTGCAAGTTAAAGCATCTTTCAAGACATTTCCTTGCTCCTGGATTTTAGTGCAGTATGGAAATAAAATGTGGA